GGAGATAGAAGGGAGGGCAGATTGGGGAGGGGGTAATCAGAAGCAAACACTTCTGCGGAGGGACAGGGTCAAAAGAGAGAACAGAATAAACAGGGGTCAGGATAGGATGAAGGGAAATATAGTTCTTCATGACATATGACTACTATGGAAATGTTTTGCATGACTACACATGTATAACCTGTGTCTAGTTGTTTACCATCTCAATAAGGGTGGGTGGAGAGGGAAGAAGGGAGAAAATTTGGAACCCAAAATTTTAAAAACAAATGTTAAAAATTGTTTTCACATGCAACTGGAAAATACGATATACAAGGAATGGGGTATAGAAATCTATCCTGCCCTACAAGAAAATAGAAGGGGAAGGGGATAAGAGAAGAGGGGGGAGATAGAAGGCAGGGCAGATTAGGAGAAGGGGTATTAAGAATGCATGCTGTCTTGGGGTGGGGGAATGAATGAGATGGGGAGAAAATTTGGAACTCAAAATCTCATGGAAGTGATTGTTGAAAACTAAAAATAAATTAACAGAACAGAGGAAGTACCTAAAAAAAAAAGTTGTAATTGAAGTTACTCACCTTGCCCCAAATCTTGAGAGAATAGCCTTTTTGTCTCATCCCTGAAAGAAATTTATCCTTCTATTCTGCATACAAAATTGCCCATCCTCAACAAACCTTCACTTGTTTCACCCATCCCTTCTGTCAGTTCATCTTTTACCTTTTGGCCCTAAACTCTTGAGAGGCTGTCTACTATACGTGCTTCCATTTTCTTTCCTCTCACTCTCAACAATCTGATTTTTGTCCTCATCATTCGACTCTCTCCAAAGTTTCCAGGGATCTCTTAATTACCAATTCTAATGGTCTTTTCTCAATCTTCATCCTCTCTGCAGCCACTGACACTTTTGATCACCTTATCCTTGCTGTTCTCTTTGAGTTTTTGGGATACTACTCTCTCCTAGTTTTTCTCCTATCTATCTGGCTGCTCCTTTTCAGTCTCCTTTGCTGGATCCTCATCACATCACACCTTGGGATCCCACAGGTCTCTCTCCTAAGCCCTTTTCTCTTCTTCTCCCTCTACACTATTTCACTTGGTAATTTCATAAGCTCCCACAGATACAATTATCAACTCCATGGTAATAATTCTCCAATTTACTTATCCAGTCCTAATATCACTGCTCACCTCCAGTTTCACATCTCCAATAGCCTATTGGACACTTGAACTGAATGTCCTGTAAACATTTTAGATTTAGCATGTTCAAAGCTGAACTCATTTCCCCCCCCAAATCCTTCTCCCTTGCAAGCTTCCCTATTACTTTCAAGGACACCACCATTCTCTTAGCACCCCAAACTCACGACTTAGAGGTCATCCTCTCATTTCTCTCCCTCCCTCCACCCCACATCTAATCTGTTGTCAAGGCTTTTAGTATTTCTTGTATAAGTTCTCTTCTTTTGTTGGTTACTGCCACTACCCCTAGTTTAGGTTCTCATCTCATCACAACTGGACTATAACAGCCTGCTGATTTATCTGCCTGCCTCCAGTTTCTCCACTCCCAGTCCTTCTCCCCACTCCCCTAGCTGTCAAAAGTGATTTTTCTAAAGTATCAATCTGACCACATGACAACTCCTATCCCCCTACTCTTTACGCAGGTGGCTCCCTTTCACCCTCAGGATCCTGTATGAAATTCTCTGTTTGGCATTCAAAGCCCTCCATAACCTGGTCCTCCCCCATCCCATTCTAGTCTTACAGTAATTTCACACTCCACTCTCCCCCCCACCCCCATCCACTCTTAAATCAGGTGATACTGGCATCCTTACCATTCCTCAAACAAGGCACTACTCTTGACTCTGGGGTATTTTCACTGGCTAGCCCCTGTGCACAGAATGCTCTCCCTCCTCATCTCTGTCTTTTGACTTTTCAGCCCAAATCCCACCATTTACAGGAAGCCTTTCCCAACCCCTCTTAATTTTAGTGCCTCCACTCGGTTATCTTCCTTTAATCCTGTAGCTAGCTTGTTTGCACAGAGTTGTTTACATGGGATCTCCCCCATCAGACTGTGAGTAGGTATTTGATGTTGATTGTCTGGTGTTCAGTGGAATGATGTTTCTCCTCTTCCTGAGAGAGGCAGGAACAGGCAGCAGGCCTCATGAGATGGAATAGTTTTCTCCTCTTATCCTAAAGGCAGGAGACTTAACATTTAACAAATTTTAATTTAACCTAACATATGCCATGACACAATGGCACTTAGCTTCTCTGGGAAAGCCCCCCGCGGTTCCCACCCCTGGTCTCCATCTGTTAACATTTCTAGTCAGCAAGTCACCAGAGCACTGGTGACTTACACGACCTTAGGCACCAGATAAGTGTGTTTTTTAGTTAACATGTATTGAGCCCTCAGACTCTAGAATGGAGGCAACATAACAGAAAGAGCACTGGGTATAAAACATGGATTCATTCAAATACTGTGTGACCTTGGGCAAACCAGCAATTCATTTAAATTCTCTGGGCCTAAGTTCTTTCATCTACAAAATGAAAGTACTTGACTAGACAATCTGTAAGAAGGGAGTCAGAAGATTACAATTAGGTTCTGTCTCCTGTGTCGTCTTAGGAAAGTAATTTTCTCTTTATGTCTCAATTTCTTTACTTATAAAGTGAGTGGATTGGATTAGAGTCCTAAGTTTCCTTTAGCTCTCACAACTGTACTTTTATCAAGTCATTGTAAATTTGAAAAATGAATCAACAAAGATGATCATGTGAGATTTTTTCCAAGTTTCTTAAACCCAATGCCATATTGACTTTCATCAGTGGATAGCTAGAAAAATTGATTTTATTTAATAAACAACACAGAATGTAGGAAAAATGAAAGTTGATATCTTCGTGGTCTCAAAAGTCCAACAGTGACCATTTTAAACCATCTTTAGAATGTCTACCTATATAATAAGAATACAAATATTTCCTTGGGCTAGTGTTCCTCGTAGGCAAGTATTTGTGGCATCTCATGATTTTACAGACTCAAGGAACCTGCAGACTAGGACATCATTCTGGCAATACAGAAAAAAAAAACAGAATTGGCTTCCATGCCTTAGTGAAATCTTGATATGTGTTCACCCAACTAAATTTTAACTGCTTTTTAACTGCTTTAGTTGAATAGTGGAATACAAAGACATAAACAATCTGAGTGGTAAAGAAAAAAAAAATCTACCTCCAAAGGGATTGAACACTAATCACTGGATTGAACGCATGTAAAACCAGATTTCATCTTAGAAGCTGTTCACAGGAATGATAAAACAGGAAGGAAAGTATCATTAGCAATCAATTTATCAGACATCAATTTATCCTGGCTATGTTAGAGACCATAAGATCTGGTAGCACTACTTACTTCCAGAACAGAGGCCAAATTCTATTGAAAAGAATGGCTCAAAATGGTAATTTTCATTGTGATATGGGATATATAAAGCTTTTCTCCTCAGTGTTGTGAATTCTCAGGCTTCTTCAAAAGAAGACTGAAGCTTAGTAGGAGTTTTTACTTGTTAGAATTTCAGAGCTAAAATAAATTTGGCTTCAGATAATTCCATATTATAATATTCAAAATGCAACAGTGCCAGATGAAATTAAATACACAGTCAAGTTTGAGAGTATACCCAGAGGCAAATGCTTTAATTACTCACTGAAGCCAATTTCTAGTTGGCAAAGATTGGTAGAGATCAATCATAATATTTCCCTGTTTTCCAAGTTCCTTGGACCCATAATTTAAGCATATGATTCCCTAAAGTTTGCATTTAACTGTAAGATGCATCTCATAAATTAATAAATTTTATTTTTATTACAAATTTAATAAACTCTAAATAAAATGAGCATCTCCATAGACACTGTAGAGGAGAGGGCTGTACATGACACTGTGAATCTCCACTAACTCGAGCTTAATGTACAAGTATAAACTCAACATGTAACTTTTAAAGCTCCAAACATCATGTTATATAAAACACTGTCTATATTAGCATATAATACATATATATATACATAAATATTATATAATGTTGTGTGTATATAAACATATATATATATATATATATATATACATTACACATTACTTTTTATATGTGTATGCACACATACTTTTTTATATTGAGGGGAAAATTGTTTTGCTGGATAGAAGACATTTGCTAACTTGTTAGCATAGGCAGGATTTTGCCTTGTGGGTTTCTCAGCTATTATCATTGATTTTTTAAAAAATTACAGCAAGTTTGAGGGGAATTTCCATCCTTAAATAATGCCCTAAAGATTCTCTGGGGATGACTACAGTAGAAAAGCTTCCCCAAAGGTATTCTGTCTCTAGTTCACTGATGGATGAGGCAACATGGCACAGTAGATATGGAAACAGACTTGAAGGAAGCCTTTGTTTTACATCCTTTCTCAAAACTTGTGGGACGCTAGGCAATGCCTCAGTTTTCTCATCTGTAAAATGAGAGGGTTGAACTCAGCGGCTTCTAAAGTCCTTGACAGCTCTAAATCTATGATCTTATGATATAATTTTAACATGATGAATATTAAAGTACATGATAGTGCTTCAGTCAAATTTTATAAAGTTTAAAATTGTTGCAAAAATACATATTTAAGTAAATATCAAGCTTCTGAGAAATTTCTACCTCTGAACTTTTTTAAACGGATTTAAAATATGATTTCATTGACAAAAGAAATTTCTGATACAGAAACTTCCCCTACCAATTTTGAAACTTAGAGTCTTAAGAGAGTTGCCTAAGAGAACTGAAAAGTTGTTACTTGCCCAGGATCACATAGCCAATAGGTGTCAGAGGGAGGATTTTAGCCTAGATTTTTAAAACTTTAAGCCCAGTACTCTATCTACTACACATAATAGCTGCTTCCTGGTTGGAAGGTGCATCTTGATGATAATGCTCCATTGAAGATGAATCTATGTGAGAGTAAATTATATATTTTACAAATTACAAATGCCAAGTGTCCCTTGTGAGAGCATCTCTGCATAACAAGGACTCCATACTTTTAAAATACAGGTAATTCTAGAAAATCTATCCCAAAACAAGCTTTTAATGCAAGAAAAGTGTTTTCATATTCGATACAGATCTATAAAAACAAACAAAAGCAAAAACCAAAAATCTTTCCTCACAAACACTTGATTACAAATTTATAATATTTCTTTTCCCACAAAACAAAACAAAAAAATAAAACACTGGATATAACTGGTTACTAATGTTTGGTTAGCACACGTACAAGATTGAAGCAAACCTGGAGTATGTATGTGCTTTGGCTGTTTTACATATGAGGTTTGGTTGTGTGTCCTTATATAGATAATACCTGCCAAAAAAGCACTGGTGGTACATAATATAGCTTAAAAAAAGACTAAAGCAAACTAAACATCAATTAATTGTACAAGCACTTTTCATACACAATAGACTGTGACAGAATGAAGCATACAGTGTATAACTACAGCATTAATGGAAATTCTAAAAAAAATTCAAAAAATACACATTTCCTTGGCTGCACTGCATGATTAGTTTGCACACACGGCAATCCTGAAATAGCCTGATCATAGTAAATGCACCATTAATCTAAGCCAGCACCAAACCCTGGGAAACTTCAGGAGTTTCTTTCAAAAGAATGACATTTCAGCTGCCTACAGTAACACGAATATGTAGAGCACCCTTTTTAAGAATGAGGTGTTATGGATAGCATATGTAGTTCCTTGAGGTTATAAGAAGGAAATAGTACAATTTGGTCTGCAATGCTAATGGTATTATAGGTAGTCAAAGTATTTTGCTACAGGGGTTGTGCTTCATCTTCTATTAATGTGTCTGGTGATACAGAACACAAACACAGTGAGCTATTCTGATTTAGATCCTCCTTTGCAGAGTCTTATGTAATTCTCATATAAAAAAATTATAATTTTCATTCAGCTCTGCAAGACTCTGTTTGAGACAGAATGGATAACTAGGGGGAAAAAAGATACATCTCTTGAATCTACTGGATCTTTTAAAAAATCACCTCTAAAATGAAATAGTTCAAATTTATAAATCTAAAGAAAAACAAACGAGTCTCCCTTCTTGTTTAGTTTGTTCATTTCTCCATATATTATTGCATTAAAATAAATATCTATATTTTAAAAATTATGAACTATAGCAAAATACCTAACTTGTTACAGACTGTTAACAAGGAAAAAAAAAAGCTCACATTTTTGTGCATTTAATGTCATATGCTGACCTCTTGAACATTTAGGTTGTTTTTTTTTAATGCATTTTAAAGTGAAGTTATATATATAAAAAAAACAACAACAAAGTAACCACGGTTCCTTTGTACCCAAATCTTTGGCCACAGCAGAGTTTAAAGTACATTTGGGGACAGGGGTGAGTGGGAAAGGAGGGAAAGAGTAATGAAGGTCTTTTTTTTTCTCTCTTAAAAAAAAAAGTCAAGGCTCCTTATTGTTTTCAAAGTCTAGGTATGCTCAAGTGGATTAAATAGGTGAACTATTTAGTGATTATTCAGTGATTTGAAAACTGAACCAAGTCTATAAAGGGGTCAGTAGAGTTGAATATGAAGTCTCATTTTGAGAGTTTCACCAAGCTCCCCTAGGAGGCAGTTGTCCTCATTACTATCTCCCAGTTTCTCAAGTTCTTTCTGCTTAATCAGAGGAATGCTAGTGATTTCCAGTGTGTAAGTTCCAGGCACAGATTTTTTTTTGGCCATGTGCAAGTAGCTTAGCCCATCCTGTTGGTCGATTCGGAAGATGCCACTGTCCTTTCCCTGTGAGATGATGTATTGAATGTGGTTGTTGAGTGACTCAATGGCAGGCATGAATTCTAGAATATGTTAACTTACTGCCAAGGCTGGACAGATTGAATTTCATTTTTATTGGGGTGTCCACATTTATACTTTCTAAGCCCATCTTTTCAACCTGAAAAAAGGAGGAGATAACAATCTTCAGGAATAAGGGCTATAAACCATTAAGATCAAGAGAAACAGGGACTCTGACTGCAACATCAGTTTAATCAATCAAACCTTCTTACTCCTGGTTTTTGAAGGAATCCTTGTCAGCTGGGAGAAGGTAGTTTTCTATAAATTTCATAAATCTTTATGACTTCAATAGGTAATTGTAGATTATGATATAATCTGCTCACAATGAAAAAAGTATACTTATTTAGTAAAAGGTCTCCTTGATGGAGACTAAATAGATCTACTGTTTCTGGATAGTCTAGAATTCTAATTTTATTCTTAGGACTACTTAGAGGGCTTGGTTTATGGATGATCATAAATACTACATTTCTAATAGTCTCCAGAGCTCCTAAGTGTAGCATCCAATGGTAAAAAATCTGTGTCATTCTGCAGATATACAGAATATAGTTCAGGGACAACAACAGAAGATATGATAAAGCTGTACTGCAAAACAGGAACAGCTATAATGTTCTGAATGGGTCTTTTAAAAGTAAAATCTTAACTCTAAGAGGGACAATGCTGCATATTATTGTTTTTAAGAGATTTTTTTCATCACTAAAAACTGTGAGCTTTCATGAGTCTAAAATTAATATAGTGCTCCTTCTCACTGAGGCACCCCGACTCTTCTGCAATTCTCTCTACTTCTATTATTGTTTTTATTATGTTTATTCTTTAGCTGGTGAGGTGAAGGCCAAGCTTGAACATTGTTCATTCAGGTGTAATGAGTGTAATCAGAGGAACCACCCTTTTTACTTCCCATTAGTTCTAGGTAGAGTGTACTCAATGGAGAATGACTGGAACTGGTCTCCTTCTAGTGACACATTTGTTCTCATCCTTTTCTGTGGGCGAGGTATGCTGGCTCAGTGCTAAAAGATAATTTTTTTTTGTAAGGATAATACAACAAACCTTGATTGGTTCCTTGGTGGACACAGCAAAGAGAAAAGGCCACTTCGGAGTATTTGTCCTAAAAAAAGGAAAAACTGAGTACTCAGTTCATATTAAAGGGAGTGACCCTGCCCATTAAAACTCTCTTTCTCCTTGTCTCTGGGGGGTGGAGGGGAAAGGGCTGGATTCTTTGATCCATGAGACAGAAAATTTTTAGTATATACTCCAATCCTTGCAGAAAGGTTCCTAGATGATAGCCAGAACACACACCAAGTGAGGTGAGCCAGAAACTAGATCTGAAAGTCTTAGCTGCCTCGTCTGATGTGTTCTTTCCTAAGCAGAGGTGACTGAATCGTGATACTAAGATATTTTCAGGTTTAGAGGTAGCCTTATAGGTTTAAGGGATCAGGAAAGTTCTTGTATTCTTCAGTTATAGCTTACCGGAAGCTAGGAGTGTTCTCTAACTATACCCTTCTCAGAGAAGATGACCACAGACAGAAGGAAAAGCTCCCAGCCTTTGCCTGGCTTGTCTGAAGATATGGACCTTGTGTGAATTGGTCAGATATTGCAGAGAGTGTAGAAAAAGTAAAATTCTAACAAAGCAATCTCACCGAATGTCTCATATTTTAATAGTTATAAGTTACTGCTGCTATTTAAGGAGATTTTTTTTTTCTTTTGGTCAATACCCTTAGGAAATGTGTAGAAAGCAAATGTCTTGCCCCCCAAAAGAAACACATAAAATATCTTTGTCCTTCCTTTTGAGACAGCCCCATACATCAGCCACACCTAAGTTTTTTAATGTGATTGTTCATGGGACTCCAGGGTGAAGAGCTCTCAGCTACAGAGTGTAGGAGAAAAAAGCCCTACCTCTCCGAGACTGAACCCCATCTACGTCCTTGGGTCCAGTGCTGAGAGGAGCTTCTTAATAAAAAGCAAAGGTGAGCATCCCAGCTCCAGGGGCCAGGAGCAGGATTTGTATTGTTACATTAGCGCTGGCTATTACTGCTACGGGAAAACATCACAAAATCTACTTCAGAATTTTCTTCTAATAAAAGGATTTGTAATGAGAGATGTGACATCGAGAGAAACTTCATGGGTGTTTGTTTCAAAGGAAGAAGATAGGTCTCACTCTTTTTTGGTGTCATTCTCTCTCTCTCATCTGACAAGACAGTTTTTCCTATTTATAGACTAATAAGTAACTCAGAATGGGTGCATCAAAATACCCCTGATGGAAGGGTTCTGGTCCATTTAACTGAAAGTTAGAAAGGTCTAAAGGTTGGTCCACTCCCTTTAAAATCCCCTGAGTGGGTGGCTCTTCTTGGTTTAGTGACCAATCTTTCAGAATTAATGATTCAATTAACGTATTTCAGCTTGTTCTACAGATCTCTCTTTTGTACTGTCTTTGGAACTCTCTTTTGTTTTGGATTTGAAAGCAGGGATTGTTTCACCTTTCCTATTTGAACAGTGCTTGATACATAGTAAATGCTTACGAAATGCTTTTTCATTCATTCTTTCATTTAATTACTAATGGTGTTTTCAGGTGTATTGAGAACTATATGGTCAAAAATAGCTGGAGGGACTATTGTGTGCCATACTTTTATGAATAGTGAATCACAAATGAATAGTGAATTACAAATGCTTAAGATGACTTGATGACTTCTTTATATCCTGTTCATGAGCTGTTAATTCTAGTTTTCCCAAGAGATATCTATGTAATACCATGAAACAGGCAAGAAACTGGGCTCAACAACTTGAATCTCCCAATCCAAAATTTCTTCTAATTTTATAATACCATGCTTAGTACAAGACTACAAGCTTCTTGATGGAAGAGAACATGTATGTTTTAAAATTCACATTTTTCCAAGTAAATAGAGAGTTTTATCTCCAGGGAACTCTAGACTACAAGTCAGAGTTGCCAATTTGATTTAGTGAAGGAAGTTTCCATACTGGTAATTACCCAAACTAATTAAATCACAAGTTTGGGCCAAAAAAAAAAAGTTCTAGCACTCAAGAGTTCCAGGTTCAGTCAATAAAAGCAGCTTCATTAATTTAGAAGGAAATTTACGATCCCTTTTAGCACCATTTTTAATATTCAAACACTCCAATGGCTAATCTTAAAACAATAATTTTCATACTTTTGCCCTTTGGCCCTTGAATTTTTATTTAGCACTTCAATTTTATTTAGTACTGTAATTTACCTATCTATGGCTTCAAATATGACAGTTTACAGTATATTGAGCTCCACCGAAGATGATAAAACACAAATATTTATTAGTGTCATTTTCTCAAATAGATGAAATCTTGAGACTAAGTAAAGTGAAATTCTAAGTAGTAAATTTACTTACCACAGCTGGTTTAGTTTCATTAATATTTCCTTTTTGTCTGCTTTCTTTCTTAGGGAAGCTGTTTATTTTGCCTGCTTGAGGAGACAAAGTATTTTCTTCATCTACCTCTGTAGCCATTGATAGATACTGGCCTTTGTTAAATCCTGTTCCTGAGACACAGTGACTGTTGGGGAAAAAAAACGAGCATAATCTGATGATACTTGACAGTCTTTCTTCCTTAGCTTTCTTCCAGAGAGCCTTCTGAAAAGAAAAAAGTTTTCCCCATGAAAACTAATGTTCTCATTTTTTAACTACCCAATGACAAATAAGAGTTTTTACACTATTGGGAAAAAAATTATTTGGACTGACTGAAGTGTATGATGTTACATTCTGAACTTCTCTTATTCTTTGTTTTCCTAAAATAGCAATATTAAAAAATGTAGAAACTAAAGCCAGAGAATCACTTTCCAATGAAAGTGCTTTAAAATGTCACACTATAAATTTGTGTTTATTTCCAGCTTGTTATTTATCCTAGCTTTAGGAATCACTAAATACACACTTCAGTAACAAAAAAGGATCACTATAATGAATCTTTATGACCATAGTACAAATCAAGTCTTTAGTTTAAAGTGATATTTTGATTGCTATATGAAGAATTAATGAATTATTTTTTGAAGCACAAGGCCATAATGCTATTAAATTGTAGAAAAGACTATTATTATTTCGCTTTTATTATTATCCTTTTACTTTAATCAATATTTCAACTGATATGTTTAATGTAAGTAGAACAACAGTGAACTACCCATGTATTCTACATATATCCCCTCATCGTTTATTCCAGTATTCTAAAAGTTATGTCAACTTTTTTTTTATCATTGGGGTCTTTAAAATTATAATTACTGTACTATTAACATTAATAGAAAAACAGAGAAAAAAGACTGAATTCCTTGATGCTCTATGGCTGGTTAAAATTCAGATAATACACACAAAGTACTCTGCAAATCTTATGTTAATTATTGTTAATGTCATCATCATCATCATCATCACCATTTCAGTCTTCTCATCTTTCTTAATGGCGTTCAGATAGATATATTCACTAATCTGCTATTTTTCTTTTATATTTAATTATCTGTGGACTATTTATTGCTCAGGTGGAAAAAAATAACTGCTTTTGTAGATGAATTGTATTATGAAGTGGACCTACTGAAAACATCCTCGTAACTCTGTATTCAAGGAACTTATCTTCTAATGTAAGATAACAGGTAAACAAATATATATGTAAACACATATTCATATACACATAATTGTATATATGTGCATGCATATGTGTGAGTGAGAGTGTGGGTTTCAGTGTGTGTGTGTGTGTGTGTGTGTGTGTGTGTGTGTGTTTGTGTGTGTGATACAGACAGTAGATGGATAGATGGAACTGGTCCCATTACTTCCTGGAAAATAGAGGGGGGAAGAAATGGAAATGGTATCAGATTTTATAATCTTGGACTCAAAGATCATCATAGATGGCAACTGCAGCCATGACATTAAAAGATGCTTGCTCCTTGGAAGGGAAAGTATGGCAAATCTGAACAGTATATTAAAAAACAGAGAAATCACTTTGCCAACAAAGGTCCATATATTCAAAGCTATGGTTTTTCCAGTAGTAACTTATGGCTATGAGAGATGGATTGCAAGGAAAGCTGAGTGCTACAGAATCAATGAGTTTTAATTATGGTTCTGGAGAAGACTTTTGAAAGTCTCTTGAACAGTAAGGAGATGTAATTAGTCAATGTTTTTAAAAAATTAATTCAGAATATTCACAGGAAGGTAAAATACTGAAGCTGAAGCTGAAATAGTTTGGCCACATAATGAGAAGACAGGAATCACTGGAAAAGACTTTGAAAGACAGTGGAGGATAGAAGGGCCTGGCATGCTATGCTCCATGGGGTAACGAAGAGTAGGACGTGACTGAAAGACTGAACAACCACAATATTGGAGAGGAAAAGGAATTAGCAACTGTGAGTACTAGAATTTGAAGGTGGTCATGAGGAAAAAAGGATATGAAGTGTTATTTTTGAGTAACTGCAAGTAGGCCAGTGTTGCTGGAATGAAGAGTGCATAGAATAAAATAAGGTATGAGGAAACTGGAAAAGTAAGAAGGAGCCCATTTGTGAAGAGTCTGACTGCCAAACATAGTTTATATTTAATCATGGGGATCCATTGAAGCTCACTGAGCAGGGGGCTGGTCTGACCTGGTCAGATCTACTTTTTAGAAAAACCAACTTGAGCAAATATGGTGGAGTGGGAGGAAATGCTAAATAAACTGGAAATAAACAACAGAGAAATATAGCAAGGATAAAACTAAATGCTGGTTCTTTGAAAAGTATAATAAACTTGTTAAACCTTTAGTTAATCTGCTTTTTAAAAAGAAGAGGGCAAAAAAAAAATCAATAAAATATCAAATGAGCAAGGCTGTTGTGTGTGGTTGTCATTTGTCCTTCATTCTCAAAGAGGACCATGACATTAGGGAGATGATGACACGACTTGCAAGTGACTTTGATTTGAGTGAGGGAGGGCTGTGCAAAGTCACCAGTCTCACTTTCTCCTCCAGTGCCATTTAAGTCCAGTGGCCAAATACTGATCAGGATGACTGAAGATAGCCCAGGATGCAGTGAGAGACCTTGGCCCTTTTAAGCTAAGGTCTTTCCAGGTTCACACTTCGAGTGAGGCAACGTCCATTCAGTGAATAGGCCTCTTAGTCAAGGGATGGTCCTAATAATAATAATAATAATAATAATAATAATAATAATAATAAAAATAAAACTGGGAGGGAAGACCCTCAGGGCTGCTAGCCAAAAGAAAAAGTGAATTCACTCTGGATCTCATGGATTGGCCAACAGGTCCCTGCCCAAGCACCACTTAATGATTATTTTTTGGGGTCTCTAGGCTCAGAGTGAATGTAAATAGTAACTGTTTCTCTTTTGGCCAGAAACCCTGAGGGTCTTCCCCTCCCAGTTTGATTATTATTGGGTTTTTTGGTTTGTTTGCTTTTTTAATTAAAAGGGTCATCCCTTGACTCACTTCTTAAAGAAGCCTATTCCTGAATGGCTTTTTCAAGTTGCAGATTCTTCAACATGAAAAGGCTACAAGCCAAGACCAAAGTGGAGGGAATGCTGGTGCATGATTTTCTGTTTGCAGATGATTGTTTACTCAATGCAGCCTCTGAAGCTGTGATGCAACAAAGTATGGATCGATTCTCTGCTGCTTGTTCTAATTTTTGGTGTTCTAATTTAACACCAAGAAAACATGGGTGCTCCATCAGCCACCACCACACCATCCATATATGGAACCATCAGTTACAGCAAACGGAGAAGTTTTGGATGCTGTGGATAAGTTCACTTACCTTGGCAGTGTACTTTCAAGGCATATACACAGTGATAATGAGCTTGATGCATGCATTGCCAGAGCTAGCTCAGTGTTTGGGAGGCTCTGAAGGAAAGTATGGGAGAGAAGTATTAGACTGACTACCAAACTCAAAGTCTACAGACCTCGTTGTTGTATGCCCATGAAACCTGGAGAGTATACCAGTGCCATGCCAAGGAAACTGAATTACTTCCATCTGAATTGTCTTACGAAGATTCTGAAGATCACCCGGCAGGATAAGGTACAGGTCACTGAGGTCCTTTCTTGAACTAAACTGCCAAGCATTCAAAACTCTGTTTCAGACAGCACAACTCCAATGGGCTGGGCACATTGTTTGAATGCAAAACTTAACACTTGCCATAAAGATTATTTTATGTAGAATTCACACAGAGCAAACATTCACGTGGTGGTCAAAAGAAGCGATATAAGGACACTCTTAAGGTCTTTCTTAAGAACTTTGGAGCTGATTGTGCCACATGGGAGACATTGGCACAGGACCACTCAGAATCAGAGAAGGTGCTGGGCTCAATGAGCAAAGCATAATTGAAATAGCACAGAAGAAGTGTAAGATGTGCAAATTTAGAGAATCTACCCCAAATGTTCACAAGGACTATTTGTGCCCAATCTGTGGTAGAACATTCCAAGCTCATATTGGTCTGATCAGTCACAGCAGTACACAATAAAACTTGACTCTAGCAGAGTGATGTCATTTTGGTCCTCTTCCAGAACAAAGGATAACAACCAATTGCTGAATGGGTACTGCCTCACTCAAAGTGAGAACCTGAACAGATCTTAGCTTAAAAGGGCCAAAGTCTCCCACTGCATCCTGGGCCATCTCTAGTCGTCCTGATCAATATCTGGCCACTGGACCCAGATGGCTCTGGAGGACAAAGGGAGGCTGGTGACTTTGCACACCCTTCCCTTACTCAAAGTTAATTTCACTCCCTGATATCATGGTCCTCTTCAAGAACGAAGGACAAACTACAATCTGTGAGTAGTCCAGGCTGGCTGAATGGGGACCCAGTTGGCCAGTTCCAGTTGGGCAACTCAACTCCTCCTCTCCTCTCCCCTTACCTGAGGGTGTTCTGCCCAAAGGAAAGTAAATTTTGATGGCCAAAAGCTACCTAGTTAACCTGAGGTTTACTGGTTACATTTCTTTCTCAAAGACCAAGCCTTAAATGAGCAATGTAAAATCACAGCAACACTAGAAGAAATAAAGAGAATAATCAGAGCATATTATGCTAATTTTTTTTTACAAACAAAACTGAGAAACTGAGAACATGAAAGAAGCATAGGAATATGAACTACTCAAACTATCAGCAGACCATATAGATCATAAATAACCTAATTTCAGGAAATGAAATAGATCTTGCTTTAAAAAGACTACAACCCTCCCCCCACCCAAAAAAAAAAACCCCTTAGGTCTGATGGATTCATGGAAGAAGTTTTTCCGAGTTTTAAAGAACAGTTAATACCTATGTTTCATGACTTACTCTCAAAGAGAGAAAGAACCCTAACAAAATTCTTTTATGAAATAAATATAGTCCTTACAATTAAACCAGGAAAATATTAAATACAGAAGAAAAATATAGGTCAATATCATTAATCAATACTGACACAAAAGTTTCATACAAAACCAATCAAAAACATTATAGCAATTTATACAAGAAACCATTCATTATTATAAAGAAGGATTTACAGCATGGATATAAAGATGATTCAATCTTAAGGAAATGACCAACATAATTAATCTTATCAAAACCTCAAACA